CAGGGAGAGAGGTAGCTAGGGGCTGTGTGCAGGCAGGGAGTAGCTCAGGGGGAGAGGGGGGTAGCTAGGGGCTGTGTGCAGGGAGGGGAGGTAGCTGGGCAGGGGGCTAGGGGGAGGGGGGTAGCTAGGGGCTGTGTGCAGGCAGGGGTAGCTCAGGGGAGGGGGTAGCTAGGGGCTGTGTGCCGGGAGGGGTGTAGCTCAGGGGCAGGGAGAAGGTAGCTAGGGGCTGTGTGCAGGCAGGGAGTAGCTCAGGGGAGGGGGTAGCTAGGGGCTGTGTCCAGGGGGTAGCTCAGGGGGGCAGGGGGTAGCTAGGGGCTGTGTGTGGCAGGGGGTAGCTCAGGGGGGGGGGGTAGCTAGGGGCTGTGTGCAGGCAGGGGGTAGCTCAGGGGGCAGAGAGGGGTAGCTAGGGGCTGTGTGCCGGCAGGGGGTAGCTCAGGGGGCAGGCAGGGGTAGCTCGGGGCTGTGTGCCGGCAGGGGGTAGCTCAGGGGGCAGGCAGGGGGTAGCTGGGGCTGTGTGTGGCCAGGGGGTAGCTCAGGGGGCAGAGAGGGGTAGCTAGGGGCTGTGTGCAGGCAGGGGGTAGCTCAGGGGGCAGGCAGGGGGTAGCGAGGGGCTGTGTGTGGCCAGGGGGTAGCTCAGGGGGCAGAGAGGGGTAGCGAGGGGCTGTGTGTGGCCAGGGGGTGCTCAGGGGCAGGCAGGGGGTAGCGAGGGGCTGTGCCGGCAGGGGACAGCTCAGGGGGCAGAGAGGGGGTAGCGAGGGGCTGTGCCGGCAGGGGACAGCTCAGGGGGCAGAGAGGGGTAGCGAGGGGCTGTGTGCCGGCAGGGGGCAGCTCAGGGGGCAGGCAGGGGGTAGCTAGGGGCTGTGTGTGCCGGAGGGCAGGGGGTAGCTCAGGGGGCAGGCAGGGGGTAGCGAGGGGAGGCTGTGTGCGGGCAGGGGGCAGCTCAGGGGGCAGGGCTAGGGGCTGTGGGCCGGGAGGGGGTAGCTCAGGGGGCAGGCAGGGGGTAGCTGGGGCTGTGTGTGGCCAGGGGGTAGCTCAGGGGGCAGAGAGGGGTAGCTAGGGGCTGTGTGCAGGCAGGGGGTAGCTCAGGGGGCAGGCAGGGGGTAGCGAGGGGCTGTGTGTGGCCAGGGGGCAGCTCAGGGTGCAGAGAGGGGTAGCGAGGGGCTGTGTGTGGCCAGGGGGCAGGCAGGGGGTAGCGAGGGGCTGTGTGGCTCAGGGGGGGGGGGGGGGGGGGGGGGGGCGTGTGCGGCAGGGGACACCTCAGGGGGCAGAGAGGGGTAGCGAGGGGCTGTGTGCCGGCAGGGGGCAGCTCAGGGGGCAGAGAGGGGTAGCGAGGGGCTGTGTGCCGGCAGGGGGCAGCTCAGGGGGCAGAGAGGGGTAGCGAGGGGCTGTGTGCCGGCAGGGGACAGCTCAGGGGGCAGAGAGGGGTAGCGAGGGGCTGTGTGCCGGCAGGGGGCAGCTCAGGGGGCAGAGAGGGGTAGCTAGGGGCTGTGTGCCGGCAGGGGGCAGCTCAGGGGGCAGGCAGGGGGTAGCTAGGGGCTGTGTGCCGGCAGGGGGCAGCTCAGGGGGCAGGCAGGGGGTAGCGAGGGGCTGTGTGCCGGCAGGGGGCAGCTCAGGGGGCAGCTAGGGGCTGTGGGCCGGGAGGGCTCCCCTCCCGTCCCTGTTCCCTCAGGGCTCTGCCAGCCACAGAGCCGGGTCCCCCCGGGCAGCTCTCACCGGCTGCGTGAGCAAAGGGGCCTGGGAGCTGGGCCGCAGCTTGAAGCCCCTGCCCCAGCAGGCGAGGGGAGACCTCCCCGGCTGCGAGCGCCGCGGCACCAGGCACAGGCCGGATCCAGCCTCCAGCCTCCAGCCTCCGACTTGGTGCGGAGGAGAGAAGGAGCCACGTGGGGAGCTGCCCCTGGACTGCCCTGCGCTTGCACTGCAGTTTGGGGGGACAACACCCCCGGTACCCGCCCAACGCTGCCATGGGCTCAGGAGGCTTCTCCCACCGGGGGTTGGGGGGCACCGGGGATCCAGGATTCAGCCCTGGCTCTCGGCTTCAGTCCCACCACTCTTGGCTTGGGGGGGGGGGGGGCATCAGGGTTTGGGGATTCAGCCCCGTGGCTCCTGCCTTCAGCTCCGGGATCCAGGTTTCAGTGAGGGGGAGCCGGGCCTTCAGCGGGGGGTGGGGCAGCGCTGGGGATGGGGATTCAGCCCGGGGGGGAGAAGGGGGCACCAGGGATGGGGATTCAGCCCCGTCGCTCCTGCCTTCAGCCCCGTGGCAGGCACCAGGGATGGAGGCTTCAGCCTGGGGAGGGGGGTGCTGGGGTTTGAGTGCGGGGGGGGCGGCACCTGGGAAAGGGTTTCAGCCGGGGTGGGGAGGACAGGCCTTTCGCGGAGGGGCGGGACACACCTTCATGCCCGCACTCGCCCACCAGCCCGCTGCAAACAGGAGGGGCTGGGGCTGCTGACTTACCAGCAGGGGGAGCAGAAAATACGGGGCAATTTGCCCGGTTTTTAGAAAAAGGTGGGACGCTTGCAAGCGGGCTTAAAGACGGGACAGTCCCATTAAAAACGGGCTGGATGGTCACCCTAGCCCCACTCTCAGCCCCCGCCCACTCTCCCCTCCCACACCCCGATGGGCTGGGGGGCAGAAGTGCCAGACAGGGGACAGGAAGCTGGAGGGGGCGATTGCCTGCAGCCGGGGGGTCAGTATCAGCTCACCCAAGAACTGCAGGAGAGTTGGCAGCACTAATTGGCTCCACACACCCTGTCCAAAAATGGTCTGGGTTGCGGGGTTTCGTTTGTTTTTTTTAAAACTAATATGTCCTATTGGAGGGACCCGGGGGAGGGGGGGGGCAACCTTGCTCCTTGCAGCGTGGGGGTTGGCCCGACGGCACCACGCACATCGCTGTGTCACACCCGGCCGGCACCCTGCGTGCCCTGCATTGTGTGGGCCCGCTGGGCTGCAGGGCATCGCCCAACCCAGCACACAGCAGCTGTAGCCAAGTGAGGGCCTTGGCTGGGTCCGGAGCAGGGCCCAGCCCTTTAACAGCAGGGGCGGAGGTCTCCCCCTCGTTCACATGGTGGAGCTGGGGGGGGTGGGGGGTCGGCTGACCAAGAGTCATGTGCTGGAGCCCATAGAAAGGCACATTGTGGGTTCAGTCTGGGCTGGGGGCTGCGTGTAAGACCCTGTGGTGATTGTCCTGCCTGGGGCCCTAGGCGCTCCCTCGGGACTGCCCAGGAAGGGGTGCCTTGGGGATGGCGGGGTTGCTGCCTGCCCAGGTTGCAGAGGGTGGGCCACTGTTACGCAGGGGTTTGTGTTATTTTTCAGCTGATTGTGAGCTGTTTATTGATAAGACAGGTCCTGAGGAAAGGGTGGCATGGTGCTGCGTGGTGCTGGGTCCACACGGCGGCTGTGTTGCTTTGGGACTTGCCTTGGTAGTGGTGATACCGAGGAAAGGGGTGGGGACGTGGACTGGCGAGTTTGGGCATTATTTTTGGCTGCCCTGGCTGGCGATTCTGCTCCCTGGCCAACCCGGACAGCTGCAATTTGTTTTTTTTTGGGGGGGGGGGGGCGTGGTAATGCTTTCAGTGCTATGGCTGATAGCGTGTCTGAGCCTGGGCAAGCTGGCTGAGGGTTACCCCAGCTAACGAAGAGGTTGGGACGCGCTCGAATGCGCTGGTGGTGCCCCCGGACTCAGAGACTGCGCCCACTGCCCATGAGGCCGGTTCCTAACTTAGGGGTTCTGCGGGCTCCGTGACGGCTCGCGGCTGCAAGCAAGCCTGGAAAGGAGCCATCTTTCCCCCATACACCTTGTGCTTATCCCTCCCCTTGTCATGGCCGGGTTAGATTAGCGCCGTGTGCCACGGCACAATGCAAGTATGTCATAGGAAGTGGAACAGCTCCACCAGGAGAGATTGGGGGACCCACCCCAGAATAGCCTATAGACACGTGGGTCTCAGATCCAGGCTCTGCTCCAAATCAGGCAGAGTGGAGATTTGAACCTGGGGTTCCCACCTCCTAGCCAGGCGTCCAGCCAGCAAGTGCTATTGGGGGGAGAGGCAGGTCTCGCTTGCAAGAGGGGTTGGCCTGGCTTAGACACCCAACTTGAGGGGAGGGCTTATGATCAAGAATCCCAAATGTGTGACGGGGGAGGTGTCTCCCCCCACCTGGAGTTAGGGCCTAACTTTCTTTGACACCCCACCCCTCTCCTCCGCATTTCCTAGTGGCTAGCTTGGCAGGCTTCTGTGAATCCCTTTTTAGGCACCTGACTCTCTGTCATGCATTGTACAGTGAGCCCTGGTGCCTAACTCAGGCTTGTGAACTCCCCTGGGCAGCAGAGTATCTAAAAGGCACCTAAATCCCCCTTGTGAATCTCATCCTTAGGAGCCTAAATCCCATTGACTTTGTTAGACTTACTCAGAGCTCTGGTGGACAGACTTGGGCTCATGGCGCTTGCACTACCTGGCTAAAAACAGCTGCGTCGCCATTCAGGGCGGCGCTCCGGCTCAACAGCTGAGGGAGGGAGGGAGGCAAGTTCAGCGCCCGAGCTCCAGCCAGGCCACGGTGCCCAAACAGCTATTTTTAGCATGTTAGTGTTAGTGAAAGCCCACGTGTGACAAGCTGGGCTCTAAAACAAGAACAGGAGGACTTGTGGCACCTTAGAGACTAACACTTTTACCTGAGCATAAGCTTTCCCGGGCTACAGCCCACTTCATCGGATGCTAAATTGGTTAGTCTCTAAGGTGCCACAAGTCCTCCTTTTCTTTTTGCGAATACAGACTAACACGGCTGCTACTCTGACCTGGGCTCTCAGACTCACTGCCACGGGCTGTGCAGACACACCCTGGCTAGCTAAGTGGCTTTCGAGAGTCTGAGTCACCTCTGGAAACTTTCCCTAGGGGCTGCACATTTACTGAAAATGTATCTTTGAGCAATGTTAAGAGTTAATCTTATCCACCCTGCTGTAATCGCATTAAAATCTCTGCAGGGGCTATGAAAAGAAGACAGGGACAAACCATTTTGGAAAATCCATGGCAAAGATTTTTTTTTATTCGCTATGAAGTATTTGTATATTTCAAAAGATTTTCTTTTTGGATTCTTCCTAATGAACAAACCAAACAATTTGTTTGAGAATAGTTTATTATCCCTATTGCGCTGATCAATATTTTAAAGTTAGTTTACAGACTACACAGCACACCATCTAAATAATCTTCCCTCATCTGACTAAGACAACAGTAATTCTTGAGATGTATAATTTGCTCTCTTAATTCAAGAATATCCTTAAAGTTTGCAAAAATTCACATATCCCCCCAGGAAAGCAGACTAGTTGTTCCGGTTTCTCATCGCAAGGTGAAGAGAACGTTGACAGTCACTGCCTGAAATACTGTTCTGTCACGCTAGATGTTAAGGAAAAGCCTAACGATGAATAAATCCCAGAGCTGTGTTTCTATGTGCCAGGAGATTTTGTACTGGGCCTGCTGCTGTCTGGATCCAGAAGAGAAAATATTTTGGTTAAAATATTCAAAGTCAGGTGCCTAAAATTAAGCGCCCAAATACAGCTTCAGGTGTCTAACATTAGGCAGCTAAGTGTGAAAATGTGGCATGTACCTTTCAGCGTGTCAGGGTTCTGAGTAGTTAGACCTTGCTCCTGCTTCCATTGAAGTCAGTGGCAATTGGCCTGTTGGCATCAGTGTGTCAGAGCAGCCCGTATACGTATTTGTGACCTTAAAAATGCTGACGCAGTTTAAATTATTCTGTTCAACATGGTGAATTTTACCAATTCATGTATCTGCTTCTTCTCCACTCTCGCTCGCAGTGTTGAGAAAATGACAGAACATGTCACTTGTTTTTCTGGCTGTCTTGCCTAAAGAGCCAACAGACACTATCTACTTTCTTTGACAGCTGCTACAGAATATGGCCCTGACCCTACAAGCAGATCCCTGCAGCTTTGCAGAGCCCCCATGAAGTCAGGAGAGCTCTGCATGGAGCTAAATGCAGGATCGGGGCCCATTTGAGCTACTCTCCATGTAGTTTATGTAAAATTAAACAATCCCCAAGGAAGTCACCTGAAAGAGAGAGGAAGGCAAAGAGATGGGCCAATGGAGAATGATGGTTTCATTTGTAGACCCCAGGAATGAATCAAGTTACTCAGCTGGGAGGCTTTCCTTTGAAAGTTTCATAGAATTTGAGGCCACCAGAGATTAGATCATCTAGTCTGACCTCCCTGAATTTTCCAGGCCAATTAATTTTCACCCAGATACCCCGATATTAAGCCCAAAGACTTTAGTTAGACTAAAGCATACCAGTCCTCAGGAGGCAAAACCGTTGAGACCAAAGTTCCACCAAAGCCTGAGGCTCCCTTCACTGACAGGGGATTGGGAGATGCCCTGGATTCATTCCAACAGCTGGCCCAGTCCCGGGAGATAGGACAAAACAGAGAGAAGTAAAGCAGGTTCCCAGTTCCCTACAACAAAACTGTGTCTGACTTAGAAGACACCAAAAAGAAACCATTTTGCTGAAAAATAGATATCTCCAGGCTGATGTTTTTTCTTCGTTGTCATGTTACCAAGTACAAAGCAGTGTATAGTAGTCTGTACATCAAAGTATACCGGTGTAAAATGAGCAACCATTTAATGACGTATGCTTGTATCATAACTGAGAAGAATGCTCAAGATGGATTCCTTAGGGGAAGTTCTGGAGGTTTTATGATGATTTCCATCTCAGCAGAGAGAACCCTTTATGAATCACGTACATTAAGGTGGCTAAAAATGCAAATACCTACAATGGAAAGAAAGCTGGAGTCAGGTACAGTTAATTGCTAAAGGGTATTGCTTGCTGACCGGATATTTATATTTGCCCATTCAGCAGTACTCATATTAACCAGTACAGTACTTGGAGCCCAAAAGCAATGACTCCATTCCAGACTTGCTAAGGGTAAGATTTTCAAAGTCACCTATGTGATTTAGAATCCTGAATGCATCCGATGAAGTGAGCTGTAGCTCACGAAAGCTTATGCTCAAATAAATTTGTTAGTCTTTAAGGTGCCACAAGTCCTCCTTTTCTTTTTGAGAATCCTAAGTGTCACTGAAAGTCACTTAGGCTGTGAAGTGCAGAAGTCACTTTTGAAAACGGGGCTTAAGTCCTTGAGTCACTTAGGTGCTTTTTAGTCGGTTTCCCTGATCTTCACAATACTATTTGTGCATGTCTCACAATAGGCGGGGTCTCAATCTCTGGTGGCATCTCACACACTTTTACCCTTTCTCAAAAGGCTGCCATCTGCCATTTCTTTCAATGGGGCTGAAGCCACAGTTGGCCCTCAGTTAAGATGACCACCATATTCCCCAGAGTCTTTGCAGGTAAAAGAGAAGCTGCCACGAGTAAAGATCTTCACTGGCGTCTCCTGTGATCAGCAGGGACGAAGCCCCGGCTGGGCTTAGGGATGGTAGTCACTTGGCCACAGAGCATAGCACTCAGTAATACTATACTAGAAAGATGTTAAAACCAGCGGGCATGTTAGGAAAGGGTGGGCTACTGTACTGGACATGAATGGCCTGGATCCCAGTGTCTTTTGGAGTCTGATAGATGGGGATGATTAACCAACAAACACTGCTCATTCTCATAGTGAGGGAGAGAAGGGTTATCCCCCTCCCCCCTCATGGAAGTGCTGGGTCTTAGGTGGTCTCCATTCAGGCCATTCAGCTTTCACTCCTGGTACATTTTGTTCGCCCCTCCACTGTGAAAGCTATTTGACACTTACCACTGCTGCAATGTCTTCCTGGTAAGTTTTCAATACGCCAGCGTCATGGGCTAGGATGGTGGCAAAGGCTTGTAAAACAGCAGCACTCAGGTAAAACAGAGCAGCCATTGAATGGTAGAAAGCATCCTAGAAAACAATAATAATTAACCATCGCTTCCAAGACTACTATTCAAGTCAGAGACAGAAGGTAATCTAAAAAACACACACACACACGCTTTCCCGGCAGAGAGACAAAAGCACTGTGGGCCAAACACAACTACTTCATTTAACTTAAGACTCAGGCCAAAGTGGTTTGTGCAAATGGGATTGTGTCCAAGTCTGGCATTTTGGTGAATACATTTTGGCAGGGAGGAGCAGCATTGTGGCCCAGATCCTCAAAGATACTTAGGTGCCTAATTCCCAATGGGCCACTCCCAAAGGGAATTAGGTGCCTGGATACTTCTGAGGATCTGGTCTTTGCATCTGGGCCTGGCCTGTGACTGGGACACCTAGGTGCAACAGTAACACAAACAATAAATAAGAGAGCCGACTCAAGGCAAAATCCCCAATTTTCCACAGGGCTGTGGTATATGGAGGCTGTTCTCCCTCACGTTGCGCCTGTGTGGAAGACCACTCGGAGCAGGCCCCATTGCAAGGGAGCTGAACTCCCAGTTGCCGCACACCGTGCCCTTGCGCTGAGACAACAAGCAACAAAACCAGCAATCCCAGCAGTACCTAGTCTCTGCCCTGGTAGCCATGCTGCCTGCCCTGGGCAAGGGAGCGCATGTGCTCCTGGAGTGGCACGTCTAGCCTGGAAACCAGCCGTAACTCAGCGTCTGATTCCTCCCGCGCGTGAGTGCTAGTGGGCAGAGTGTAAGTTACTTCACCCATACCCTGTAGGCACCCAGGGCTCTCCAAACTCCCCGCCCTTCTCTACCCACCCCTGCCTTGCAGGGAAGCTTATCGGGCCAGCCGTCCTTGCTGCCCAGTCCCACAGCTGGAGTCCTAAGCTGAGGAGGGCATCCTGGGTGGGGGAAGAAACAGAGACAATCTAGCCCTGTGGAGGGGAGACTTGACTGGAAGGGAAAGTGTAGCCTTGGGTTAGGGAGCGAGTTCCTGTACGTAATGAGCAAGGCTGAGCTGCAGGGCCTGGCCTTGTTAGAAAGGAGGAGAGGATGGGGGTGAAGGCCTAGTGACCCCAAGCAGGAGCAGAGCAGTTACATCCCCACCCGGCATGGTCTTGACTGGTACAAGGGCCTGGCTAATATGCCTCTCCCCGTGCCAGGGCCCCCGGAGGGCATGGCCCGTCAATACGGGGCGACAGCAGGAGGGGCAGGGCCTGCTGCTCTGCTCTCGAGGTGCCGTAAGAAGCCCTCTGGTGCACGATACTCCCCAGAGCCCAGGAGCCATCTTGTCCTCTTCCACCAAGGACTCCTGAGGAGACTGGCTCCATCCTGCTCAGCTAGCCATCATTGGGGACCTCTTCGTCCCGCCTCCCAAGCCACTGGAGGAATGTTCCAGTGTGGAGGGAGGGAAACTTGGAATTATTCGATTTTCTAGGGCACTCCTCAACCGTTGTGTCTGAGCCCCTCACAGCACCCGAGAGAGAGGGAAGTAGTTTCCCTGTTTAAACAGATGGGGAGACTGAGGCAAAGAGATTTGCTTGAGGTCATTCAGGGAGTCTGTCACAGACGCAGGAACAGAACTCGGGTCAGAGCAGAGCAATAATCGGAATTGCCATCCCATGGGAAGTTCTGATTTTCAACTCCCCCTCTCCCCTGACCCCCGCTGAACAGGGACAAAGATGAAATATTGAAAATTTTCCCCAGAATAACTTTTCAAAACATTTCATTTTGGAAACAGCAAAAATTTGCATTTCAGTTTGTTGAACTAACCCGTAAACATTTCACTTCAAGTCAGTTCAACATTAAACTGCATTGCCTCATGGGAGCTGTAGTTTGGGCATCTCAGGCCTCCATTCTCCCCTATGGGGTGAGCTCCCCGGCCATGCTTCATCTTCCGTGATGCACCTGAAATCATGTATCTCACATGGTGTGCCATGTGGCTCAGTCAGAGGAGAACCCTGTGTTGCACCAGGGGAGGTGTAGTCCGGCCAGGGAGACCAGCCCTTAAATGAATGGGGACATGAGCAGTTTGAATTACAGTTCCCACAGGGCAAGGGTGTCCCCATTGGGAAATGCAGTTTAGCGGTGAATCGACCCAAAGCAAAATATTTTGTTTTGATTTTCCTGGCAGAAAATTGAAAAATTTCAGCAAATTCAAAATTATCTTGTGGAAAATTTTAATTTTGCAGAAACTATTTCCTGTGACAGAAAACTCCCAACCAGCTGTAGTTCTGATCTTCCAAGTCCCGTGCCAACATCTAGTCCACAAGAACATCCTTTCCCCGCATGCGGTGCTGTAGCTTATCCATGGCTGACAACTCAGAGGGGGCAGAAGGCTCCCCAGAAAGAAAGGGCTTTGGAGGAGAAGAGGGAAGGGAGGTACATCAGGAGGGGTGTGGACTACAGTCCCTTCCTGGGGATAGGGTGAGATGCAAAACACAGCATTGCTGATTGCTCATCAGAACAGGGTGCAACATGCACAACTGCTGGGCTTCCTGAGCCAGCAGCAACGGAGGCTGCTTATTCTGGATTCAGGGCTGATAGCAGCTTTTGATAATCCTGCAAGGGCACAGTGAGAGGCATATAAACCCAGAGTCTGCCAGCACACATGCTTAACTTCACTTGACACCGGTGAATAGTCCCATTGATTCAAGTACATGCCCAAGTGTTGGCTGGATCAGGGCCAAAGTGCTCAGACTGTGTGTGACAGGGAGCTATACAAAGGCAGGATCAGCTTACCACTGCAATCCAGGAAGATTTTCCACCATGAGCGCCGCAGAAATAGAGGCACATGAGAAGAGTTGACAATGTGAAGCAGAACACGGAAACAAACATAACCCAGCCTTGCAGTAAGTGATAAGCTACCCTGGTTGAGGCCACCAGAATCCAGACAAGGCCTCCAAAGACCTACAAGAATAAGCAAAAGGGAGAGAGAACAGAATAATTCAGGTTTCATCATCATGTGTCATGTTATGAGCTCAAAAAACACGATAAGTCCATTGGTCTCAACCTGAAAGCTGTACATCAAGATAGTTTCTTGGGGAAAGAAGGCAAATAAGGATATTAATTTAACAAACCCTGTCTTAATAAAATACAGCAGTTCTACACCTAGATTTCACTTCTTCTCAGGCAATTCACAAGGCAGCAATCATCTAGTTCTGCAATTTATTGTCATGCGGGGGGAGTGGGGGGGGAGTTGCCATCTTATACATGAATACAGGCAGTCCTCAGACTTATGACACAATTGGTTCCTTACAATTGCGTCGTAAGTCGGAACGTTGTAACTCGGAACCACAACTACTCCATTGTGAGACGAGCGTGGGAAACTCAAAACCTATAGTCTCAAGTCGATTCAGGGTGTCAATCTAGACGCGTCGTAAGTGCTGTTCAACTTAAGTGGAACGTCATAAGTCTGAGGACTGCCTATATTTAATAGCCCCAAAACGAAACACTTATGAAGGGAAGTGTTTCTCCATGGAGTCCAACGCTCAGACATAATAGAGAAATTTTCCACAACCCAACTGCTACCTCTGGCCAAAGTTTTCTTAATTTTCCATTTTTAATGACATTTGTTGTTGAAAATTAGATTTTCCATTAACAGAATAAATTCCAATGAAAAATTGTGTCTGCATCGGGGGGGGGGGTGTTGTTGACCAGCAACTGAGCTCAGCATTGCATTTGTTGAAATGTAAATAAGTAAACAAACAAAAAGTTTTTGACTCTTCCTGTGATATTGGTACTGGTTTTCTGGCTAGCTGTGCACAGCCATAGACACACAGCTTTCCACTGGCTTCTGGCTCTCCTGCTTTAACAATGTGGCTCCTATAGAATCATAGGGCTGGACCTCGAGAGGTCAGCTAGTCCAGTCCCCAGCACTCATGGCAGGGCTAAGTATTATCTAGACCATTCCTGACAGGTGTCTTATCCAACCTGCTCTTAAAAATCTCCAATGATGGAGATTCCACAACCTCCCTGGGCAATTTATTCCAGTGCTAAACCACCCGGACAGGAAGCTTTTCCGAATGTCCAACCTAAACCACCCTCGCTGCAATTTAAGCCCATTGCGTCTTGTTCTGTCCTCAGAGATTGAAGAGAACAACTTTTCTCCCTCCTCCTTTTATGTACTTGAAAACTGTTATCATGTTCCCTCTTGGTCTTCTCTTCTCCAGACTAAACAAACTCAATTGTTTCAGTGTTCCCTCATAGGTCATGTTTTCTAGATCTTTAATCATTTTTGTTGCTCTTCTCTGGACTGTCTCCAGTTTGTCCACATATTTCCTGAAGTGTGGCACCCAGAACCAGACACAGTACTCCAGTTGAGGCCTAATCAGTGCAGAGTAGAGCGGAAGAATTTCTTCTTGGGTCTTCCTTATAACATTCCTGCTAATACAGCTCAGAAGGGTTTGTCTACACAAGGATTTACTGTGTACTAACTTTAATTTGTGTGCACTAAAGGGTGTGTCTACACCGCAATTAGACACTTGTGGCTGGCCCATGCCAGCTGACTCCGGCACGCAGGGCTTGGGCCAAGGGGCTGTTTAATTGTGGTGTAGATATTCAGGCTGAAGCCTGAGTTCTGGGACCCCATGATGGGGGAGGGTCCCAGGCTCCAAGCTGAGCCTGGCTGTCTATACTGTAATTGGAGAAACAAGGTGGGGGAGATCAGACCTTTTATCGGACCAACTTCTGTTCGTGAGAGAGCTTGTCTGGGACCAATATAGCTACAACAACACAGCATGCTACACTGCAGCTGAACAGGCCCATAGCCTGAGCCCGTCAGCGGGCATGGGCCAGCTGCAGCTGTCTAACTGCAGCGTAGACATATCCAACATGGCCTTCACACACACACCATACAATTCTTAACACGTACTAACTAGCTAGTTAATACGTATTCTTCAATCCACTTTGAAAGTGGAGTAAGTGTGACACACCGTACCTCAGAATGACATCCTGTCGCCCCCAAATATTGTCATGATATTTCATACAAAGCATGCCACGTAAGGCATCATATGAAAGGTCATGATCTGCTGAAACCCGCTAGTCTGTCCACATATGTATATTATTAGAGAGTCTATAAAGTTATGAAATTGTGCTGTATGGTTGTTAGTGAAATATGCTGTAAGTTTGCTAGTGACACACAAAGGATCCCTGCTCAGGGGAGTGTTGACCGCCCATTAATCAACTGTGTGACTCAGCCATGCAAGCATCACACAATGGTAACTGCTCAGTCACTGTGACATGGGGACTGACCGTTCACTATGACTCAGCAAAGCCCACCAGGACATGCCTGTCTAGTGTCTGCCAGGCACATGGGCCGAGGGTGTAAAACAAGGGACAGTAGCATCAGGTCTTCACCTTTCTCCTCCCCCACCTACACTGGACACAGCCGGGGTGCCAAGAAGACAAAGCTCATCTGAGGAGACTGGTCCAGGCTCAGGGGGAAGCCCATGCAGTAAGGACTGTAACATCCAGTGGGGTGAGGACATTGCTTGATCTAAATCAGGGGTCCCAAACTCGAATCACCAGGAGGGCCGCATGAGGACTCGTACGTTGGCCCAAGGGCCGCATCACCCCACCCCCTTTGCCCCCGCCCCCCACTCCACTCCCACCCCTGCCCATGGGGTGCAGCAGGGGGCTCACGGCAGGGAGTTGGGGTGCAGGAGGAAGTGCGGGGTCCAGCAGGGGGCTCAGGGCAGGGAGTGCGGGGTGTAGCAGGGGGTTGGGGGTGCATCAGGGGGCTCAGGGCAGGGGGTTGGGGTGCAGGAGGGAGTGTGGGGTGTGCAGAGGGTTGGGGTGCAGGCAGAGGGCTCAGGGCAGGGAGTTGGGGTGCAGGAGGGAGTGTGGGGTGTGGCAGGGGACTCAGGGCAGGGGGTTGGGGTGCAGGAGGGAGTGTGGGGTGTGCAGAGGGTTGGGGTGCAGGCAGAGGGCTCAGGGCAGGGAGTTGGGGTGCAGGGTGCAGGAAGGGTTTGGGTTCCAGCCCGGCACTGCTTACCTTGAGCAGCTCCGGGGTGGCAGGAGCACGCACCGGGACCAGGGTAGGCACCCTAAGTGGTGGGCACCCTGTCCCTGCAGCCTCGGGGGGAGGGGGAGCAGGGAACTCCGTGAGTTGTTCTTGCCTGTGGGTACCTCCCCCGAAGCTCCCGTTGGCCGCGGTTCCCCGTTCCCAGCCAGTGGGAGCTGTGGGGGAGGTACCTGCAGGCAAGAACAGCTCACGGAGTTCTCTGCTCCCCCTCCCGCCGGGGCCACGGGGGCAGCGTGGGGCCATCAGCACCATGGGGTTGGCAAATCCGCGGGCCGGATCCAGCCCGGGGCCCTAGTTTGCCTACCCCTGGCCTGGAGTTAGGCTGGGGACACGGAGCGCTGGGGAGGGGTCGGGGGGGCCGTGGGGAGCTTGGCGGTTAGCAGGGAAGAACCCTGCGGGCTGCGTGTTTGAGACCCCGATCTAAATACTGCCTCGTGTAATAAGGTTTAAGATTTAGACTGCGCGCTTATTTCTATGTTCTTTGGTAGCCATCGCTGTCCTTTTATGCCAACCACTTATAATCATTTAAAACCTGTCTGTCTGTCATTAATAAACCTGTTTTATATTTTCCCTAAATCAGTGTGTTTTGGTTGAAGTGCTTGGGAACGCTGAGCTCAGATTACAAAGGCTAAATACCCTCTCCACACGGAGGGAGGGGTGGCCTGGGTAATAAATTTACAGTGGTCGGGCTTCTGAGCAGGGCAGAACTGTACAGCTCTGGGGTCCTAGGCTGGGGAGCTGGGGGGAATTGGCCGGAGCCTCTCCATTGTTGGTTCATGAGTGGCTGGGAGAAGCATTTATGGAAGTCAGCTGGGTGTGTCCCTGATGGTGGATGTTTGTGTAAGTGCAGAAGCTGGAGAGGTTTGCCGCTTGTCACAGCATCACACTGGGAGAGGGAGCCCCAGTCGGAGGAACAGAGGGCTCAGTGGCACCCCAGTTCCAGGTTGCACCCCGGGGCTCCCGTCACAGTAAGGTCGTTGCATATTGAGTCAGTGCAGGCTGATGTTCATGCACACACACTGCTTATCCACATAAGCTTGGCAGGCCTCTGATGGCTATCCCCCAATGCTTCGCATGCTGCCAGGAACAACTTGTCGGTTTACCTGCATGTCCTCCAGGGCTCTGGGGTTACGCTGCACTGACGTCCCCTCCCTGTTTAAATGCATGCACAAAGAATCCTGTGTCTGGAGCCACTCCCGGGTGGGTCTTTCCTCCTCACTTCTAATCCTCACCCGCTTCTCTGACCCAGCCAGACACACAGAGCCAAATGCAGGCTGGCTTGTGCCCTCTTCACCCGCAACTGAAATCAACAGGGTGCAGAGATCACCCTCTGCCTTGATGGAAGGAGCGAAGACTTGCCTACGCAGACTGCTTTGACAATCTTCCTAGGGCTACTGACCTGTACCCACGGCCCCTTCAACTAGAAACCCCCCGTCCATTCACTGATCCAAGGGAACGCCCATTCCCAGTGCTGCACGCGCAGCGCCCAGTCCGATGAGGCGTTAAACCTTGACGGGTTAGGACTTGACTCTTAATGCAGAAAAGCCCTCTGCAAACACACATCATTATTCGTTAGGCTGCACTGGCAGCTGAGCACAGACTGGAGGGCTAAAACGCATTTCGCTCCCCACGCAACGCTGCCAGCCAACTACCTCTTGATTTTATACAGCCGCTCTCCCTTCCTGGAGCCTGGATTTCAGCCAGCCCCTGCGTTCTCGGCCATTAGGTCCTTGCCGATCACGACCAGAGTCTCCCTCCTGGTGCCATTTTTCACAACCTGATGGTGCCTTCCCCTCAGTGAGACTGCCTTCCCCTCAGTGAGACTGCCTCCCAAGGAAGTCCCATTACGGCACCAAATCCCAGCACTCTCCCTGAGCCCCACGGG